GGAGCTCTGCTCAAGGTCCCACAGCAGTGAACTGGGGAAGACTCTCCTGCCTCCCTGTCCTGACCCCACCACATCCCAGGGGACAGTGCAGCGGGGGCTCACCTTGTAGAGCTTGGCCAGCTTGCGGTTGGCCGCGTCCTCCTTGGCTGTGTCGTCAGTACCTGGAGGCAGATCTGGCTTGGGGCCCAGCACCTGCACGAGATGGAGAGATGGAGAGGAAGGGTGGTCATGAGGGAGGGGTCTGTGCTCCTGAGTGAGCTTCCCAGTCAGGCAAGGACCACACAGGCATCCCTGGGACTCCTCCACACAAGGTCCAAACCCCTCCACAGAGTCCTGCCTCTGCTCATATACCCGTATGTGGGGACCAACCAGGTCTGCCTTTTTTTTTGAGACAGAGTCTTACTTTCTTGCCCCTGGCAGAGTACTATGGTGTAATAGCTCACAGCAACCTCAAACTCTGGGGCTCAAGTGATCCTCTTGTCTTAGCCTCCCAAGTACCTGGGACTACAGACACCTGCCACAACACTCGTTTATTTTTATTTTTATTTATTTATTTATTTGAGACAGAGATTCACTTATTAACCCTCGGTAGAGTGCCATGAAGTCACAGCTCATAGCAACCTCCAACTTCTAGGGCTTAGGCGATTCTCTTGCCTCAGCCTCCTGAGTAGCTGGGACTACAAGTGCCTGCCACAATGCCCAGTTATTTTTTTGTTGCACTTTGACCAGGGCCGGGTTCAAACCCACAACCCTCAGTATATGGGGCCGGCGCCCTACTCACTAAGCCACAGGCGCTGCCCAACACTCAGTTATTTTTAGAAATGGGGTCTTGCTCTTGCTCAGGCTGGTCTCAAACTTATGAGCTCAGGCAATTCACCCACCTCAGCCTCCCAGAGTGCTAGGATTACAAGCATGAGCCACGGTGTCCCGGCCCAGTTTTGTCTATTAAAAGTCCTCTCTTCTCTTACTCCCCCTAGAACTGGGGGAGAACATCTCTGCTCCTCTGACTCTAGGACAGCCCTTCTGATATTTACTCCACTTTGTAATTGTGATGACTACAGCTATTGAACATCTTCCACTACTTGCTTTTATTTTTTATTTATGTATTTATTTATTTTTTGAGACAGACTATGTTGCCGTGGGTAGAATGCTATGGCGTCACACAGCTCACAGCAACCTCAAACTCT